CACACACACTCCCCCACACCCTGACCCTCAGGCCGGAGACCTGGGTCTGCCTCTCTGGCCCTTCCGGCCACACCTCAGGCGTCTCTGATGGACTCACACCCCAGCCCAGGGCCCAAGAGCAGGCCGTTGGCCACGGCCTTCAGCCCCACAGCTCCGTGGGCATGGAGGGTTTGGGGGCTGGGGAGTGAGGGGCATGGCTGGGACACTGGGGACAGGGCAGGTTCCTGCGGAGGGAGGGAGGGAGGGGGAGGGGGAGGGGAGGGAGGGGGAGAGGGAGAAGGGGGAAGGGGGGAGGGGGAGGGGGAGAGAGGGAGAGGGGGAAAGGGAGAGGAGGAGGGGGAGGGAGGGGGAGAGGGAGAAGGGGAAGGGGAGAGGGGGAGGGGAGGGAGGGGGAGAGGGAGAAGGGGGAAGGGGGGAGGGGGAGGGGGAGAGAGGGGGAGAGGGAAGGAGAGGGGGAGGGGGAGGGAGGGGGAGAGGGAAGGAGAAGGAGAGGGGGAGGGGGAGGGAGAGAGGGAGGGGGGGAGAGGGGAAGGAGGGGGTCTCAGGCCCAGGGCCAGGAGGGCTCTTGCAGTGCTGATGCCTCCCTGGGGCCTCCCTCTTGCCTCCCCAGTACGATGAGCTGCCCCACCACCCAGGCATCGTGGACGGCACTGCAGCCCTGGCTGGCTTCTCGGAGGCGGTGCCTCCCGCCCCTGGAGCCCCCCGGCCCTTCGGCCCCCACCGGCCTCCCCCGGGCCTGGACGGTGCCGGCCTGAAGCAGGAGAAGGATGAGATCTACGGGTGAGTGGGGGCAGGGCGGGGGGCGGGGGCCCGCGGGGGCCCAGAATTCAGCCTTCCTCTCTGTTTCTGGGCCCCTCTACACGGTCTCTCTGACGGTCTCACCCTGTTCTCTCTCCATCTCTCCCCCTGGGTCTCCCTCTCCGGCCGGCGGCCCCACATTTCAAAGGGCCTGCCCTCCCCTCAGGTCTCTCCTCTCCGCTCCCTGCAGACACCCGCTCTTCCCGCTGCTGGCCCTGGTCTTTGAGAAATGTGAACTGGCCACCTGCTCGCCCCGCGATGGGGCGGGGGCGGGGCTGGGCACACCGCTGGGCGGTGACGTCTGCTCCTCCGACTCCTTCAACGAGGACATCGCAGCCTTTGCCAAGCAGGTGGGCACCCCGCTGCATGCCGGCCCAGCCCGGCACCACAGGGAGGGCAGGCGGGCGACAGTGTGCCCTCCCTGGCCTCTCTCTGCCCCCCAGGTCCGCTCCGAGAGGCCCCTGTTCTCCTCCAACCCAGAACTGGACAATCTGGTGAGGCCTGGGCCCCCCTCCCCAATGCCCGCTCCCGCACGGGGTCGCCTGTCCTGCCCTCCAGAGCCTTGGGGTGGGCTGGGGGACCCACATTTCCACACCGTGATCACTGTTGCCCCTTGGCGGTGCAGTATGGCCAAGACTTGAGGACACCCCACCATGAGTGCAGGGACTTGGCTGCCCAGGAGAGAGCAAAGCAACAGGAGAGAGGAAAGGAAGGGGGGTGGGGGGTGGGGCATACCCTGGGTTCTTTAATTTCCCAGTTCCTGCCAGCGTTTCCTATTGGCCGAACCCTTTGGCAAAGGATTCTGGGAAATGTAGTTTGCAGGTGACGGGTGGGCCCTGAGGGCAAGCAGGCAAAGGAGAGGGCGTTGTTATTGCAGCTTCCCTGTGTTCACTCCTCTTGTGATGGATCCTTCTCTGTCTCTTGCTCCGCTCTGTCCCTGACACAATCTAACACTGTTCCTGGAATCCTGGGTCTTTGTCTCCAATCTCCCTCTCTCTCTCTCTCTCTCTCTCTCTCTCTCTCTCTCTCTCTCCCCGTGCCTGTATCTGTCTCTGCGGCTCTCTGTGCTGTGTCTCTCCATCCTTGTCATCCTATCTCTTTCTCTGCCTCTGTCTCTTCTCTTCCCTCTTTCCCCTCCTCCTCCTCCTCCTCTTCCTTCTTCTCTCTTTTCCTCTGTCTCCCTCCCTCCGCCCCCTGCCCTCTCCCTGTCTCTCCTTCAGATGATACAGGCCATCCAGGTGCTGCGGTTCCATCTGCTGGAGCTGGAGAAGGTGAGTGCTCCTCACACCCTCTCTCGCCCCCGTCCCCCTCCTCCAGCCCCTCCACTCCCCTCAGGTCTCTCCCCACCCCTCCCCCTTCCCACACACCGCAGCCCTGGCCCCCGGGTGGCCCCCCCAGTACCCCGTGCCCCCTCAGGTCCACGACCTGTGCGACAACTTCTGTCACCGCTACATCACCTGCCTCAAGGGAAAGATGCCCATCGACCTGGTCATCGAGGATCGGGACGGCTGCTGCAGGGAGGACCCCGAGGACTACCCCGCCTCCTGCCCCAGCCTCCCGGACCAGGTGGGCCAGCCAGGCAGCGGGTTACAGCATGAGGACACGCACACGCACATGCATGCACACAGCAGGTTACAGCATGAGGACATGCACACACACATGCATACACACAGCAGGTTACAGCATGAGACAGCAGATTACAGCATGAGGACACACACACGCACATGCATACACACAGCGGGTTACAGCATGAGGACACTCACTCGCACATGCATACACACAGCAGGTGGACACGCACACACACATGCATACACACAGCAGGTTACAGCATGAGGACACGCACACACAAATGCATACACACAGCGGTTACAGCATGAGGACACGCACACATACACATGCATACACACAGCAGGTTACAGCATGAGGACACACACACATGCATACACACAGCAGGTTATAGCATGAGGACATGCACACACATGCATACACACGCACGCACATGCGTACACACAGCTTGAGGACATACACACGGCACACGCATATGCGTGCATCTTAACAGCTGAAGACACCACCATAGACTCAGCTACACCCACACAATTCCAGCCATTCTCACTCATGGCCAGTGACGGCCTGCACCATATACCCAGCTGCATCGTAGACCACACAGCACGGTTACTCCGTGTGTGTGTGTGTGTGTGTGTGTGTGTGCGGGGGAGTGTGTGGTACACATGCAACCGCCACAGAGATGGGTTGAGCCACACGGCCCCAGACGCTGCCACACGATCAGATACAGCGACACCAGACCGACTGCAGGGCCTGCACGCCCGCACGCACACGCTCCCTGACCACCTCACAGTCTCCGCAGCAGGTGTGCACGCTCTCGCACACACACACACACACACACACACACACACACACACCGTGCCACTCCGCCTCTGAGACAGCCGGACTGCAGTTTCATCGACAGCCCGGCCATGTGGATCCCAACCAGGACCACACCCTCAGGACGGTCATCCTCTCAACACACCCAGCGATTGTACAGCCTGACACCCGCACCCAGAGGCAGGCGTGCGGCCGGGCCCCACCTGGGCGTGGGTGTGCCTCCCGCTAGTCACGGGTGGGCCCCGAGCACCCTCTGCCCTCAGCCCGTAATACCCACCCAGTCAGTGAGGGCCACGAGCATGTGACAACTGGATACAGCTCACTCAGAGACACAGCATGTTCCTTATCTTAAATATATATATATTATTGATTTTTTTACAGAAAGGAAGGGAGAGGAATAGAGAGATAGAAACATTGATGAGAGAGAAACATGGACCAGCTGCCTCCTGCACACCCCCTGCTGGGGATGTGCCCGCAACCAAATAAAATATTGTGAATGTATCAATGCCACTGAATTGTACACTTAAAAATGGTTAAAATAATGGATTTTATGTTATATCTATTTTTTTAAATATATTTTATTGATTTTTTTAAGAGAGGAAGGGAGAGAGATAGAGAGCTAGAAACATCGATGAGAGAGAAACATCAACCAGCTGCCTCTTGCACACCCTCCACCAGGGATGTGCCCGCAACCAAGGTACATGCCCCTGACCGAAATTGAACCCGGGACCTTTCAGTCTGCAGACCGATGCTCTACCCACGGAGCCAAACCGGTTTTGGATATGGAGATATATATATATATAGAGAGAGAGAGAGCTAGAAAAATAGAAACATCGATGATGAGAGAGAATCATTGATTGGCTGCCTCCTGCACGACCCCCACTGGGGATCGAACCCCCAACCTGTGCACGTGCCCCGACCTGGAATCAAACCGTTACTTCTGGTTCATTGGTCGATGCTCAGCCACACAGTCCAGGCCATAGTCCCTATCTTCACACAGACCCCAACTCCCTCCCTCAGCAATTACCACCGTCAAAGCCACTGAGCTGCCCGTCTGCCTGAGCAGGAATCAGTACCACCTCACACTGTTTCACAAATAGGACAACCGACAGCCACACCCTTGATGGTCGTCAGACGCAGCCCTGCCGCCGCCCCCCCCCCCTGCCATCTCCGAGAGCGACAGCCCTGCTCAGAACCCACCGCCTGTCTCAGCTCCACCCAGTCGCAACCACACCTCAGCCACCTCCGTCAGCCACAGCCATGCCACCTGGGCACGGACGTAGGCACTCACACAGCCATTGTCTCAGGCCAGCTTCTCGCACCCCAGCGTGGAGGCTCCCCCTCAGCCGGGGATCGAACCCAGCGCTGCCACTGCTGCAGGGACAGCCCTGAAGCCTGAAGACCCAATGGCCCTGCATTTCACACACAGGCCTCCCCAACTCCCCAATCACCCATGCACGCATTGCACGCCCAGGTCCAGACTGCAGAAGGTCCCCCGGAGCTGGGCTGTGGGACCCAGGACTCAGATGACAGTGGGGAAGGGCTGTTACCAGGCAGCGGACAGGTCAAGGGCCATCCCTGGAGCCGGCCGGGCACCCCAGGGTCCCTGTGGCTGTTGGCACCCCTCCTACTGCCACTCTGCCTCCCAGCATCGAACAAAGAACAAAGGTCCTGTCTCCCTGCGGGAGGCTTGGGCTCTGGGATGCAGAGCGTGAGCCCAACACCTGATCAAGTTCCTCCAGGAGTTGGGGTGAAGGAAGCACAGTCCTGGGCTCCCGGGCTGCAGTTCTGAGGCCCCCAGGACTCTAACTAACACTGAAAGCTATTACCTCCCCCCCTCCCCGCGCCTCACCCCCCCCGACCCCCCCCCCCGTTCCCCACCCGTGCCCACAAGTTTAGTGCAAACTCATTTGGCAGCAATGTCTGACCTGAACCAATGAGAGGCTATTTATAGCTGTTATTTATTCCACCTCGTTACATACCCATCCGCTTTACCGCAGAAATGTCAATGAGCTTGATCACGGGGTTCTGCCGGGCCCAGACCCCGCTGGGGGTGGTACGAGGCACACAGCAGGTGCGCTGTGCGCTGACTGACTGTCTAAAAATGTGGCACGTTCTGAATTCCGAACCCCTTCCGATAAGGTGCATGGGTCTGTGTAAGCGCGTCTCTGCTGAGTGACCGCCGTGCCTTCGTGTAAATGAACTCACTGAGTTGCCCACACTCGGTGAGGTGGGGGCCAGTATCCTCTTCCATTACCCAGTTGGGGAAACTGAGGCACAGGGAGGCGCGGTGACCTGCCCAAGGTCACCCACGCAGCAGGGAAGAGGCAGGGACAGGCGTGCCACCCAGAAGCCCCAGCCCCAGAGCCCGTGGCCTCCGCTGCTGTGCTGTGACCTCCAACTCTTGTCTCCCAGAATCCTACCTGGCTTAGGGACCACGAAGACAGCGGGTCTGTGCAGCTGGGGACCCCGGGACCGTCCAGCGGGGGCCTGGCCTCCCAGAGTGGGGACACCTCCAGTGACCCAGGTGAGAAGCTCGGGGGGGGGGGGAGAGGGGGGTAGAGGGAAATGTGGGGGCGGCCTGAGGACTGGAGTTAGACAGCACATGGGACTGCCGAGGGGGCCGGGGGGGCGGGGGAAGAGGGGTAGCGTCGTGGGTGAGGGTTCTGGGCCTCCGGTGTCCCACCCTCGTGCCCACACGCACAGCCTGCCCCTCCCCACCCCCTCAGGAGACGGACTAGACACCAGCGTGGCCTCCCCCAGCTCTGGGGGGGAGGACGAGGAGCTGGACCCTGAGCGACGGAGGAACAAAAAAAGGGGCATCTTCCCCAAGGTGGCCACCAACATCATGCGAGCCTGGCTGTTCCAGCACCTCTCGGTGAGAGTTCTCCCCGCCCTGCCAACCCACCGTGGGCGGGCACAGAGACCGAGGCCCCAGACACCCAGAGCCAGAGAGGGAGGCAGGGAGCATTGAGGGAGGGTGCCCAGGAGGTGGGGACTGGCCAGGAAAAAGGCATCCTGTGTGCCTGGTGCCGCTCGGGGCTCTTAACTCACTGAGCCCTTCCCTCCCCACCCCACCCACTCGTATACCTGACCATCTGTCCTCCTGGTCACCCACCCCTCAGCCAGCCGCCAGCCAGCCAGCATCCTCTGTGGGGGCAGGGCCGTACCAGCTCCATGCTGCAGAGAGGCCGAGACACAGGGAAGGGGAAGGAGAGAGAGGAGAGAGAGGGAGAAAATGGGACAGGGAGAGCCGTGCACAGGGCCCCGCCAGACTCAGAGGCTGGGGCTGGGTTTCGCCTCCTTTCCCGGCGACGGAGCCCTGTCCCCAGTTCCGTCCTCCTCCCGCCCATGAGAGCGGGCCCATTAGCCTCTAATTGCTGGAGGAGGCGGGGCGCCCACGGGGCGTAATTGCCCGAAGTTTGGCTCTGCTTCCCCGGCTGGGCCTTGGGGAGAAAGGGGAAGCTTCCGGCCCCTGCCCCCGGCCTGGGCTCGCCAGCCGGCCTCCAGGACCGGACAGGGCCAGGCCACGGGGACCAGATGGTGGCCCGGCAGGCAGGGTGACGCTTGCTGATGGCCACAGCACCCGTACCCCTCGGAGGAACAGAAGAAACAGCTGGCGCAGGACACGGGACTCACCATCCTGCAAGTCAACAACTGGTGAGGGCCCTGGAGGCTGGGACGGGAGGCCGGGCGCTGTCCGCGGTGCTGAAGGAGGAGATGGGGCCTTCTCCCATTCCAGTTCTCTCTTCCCAGCTCTCCCTCTCTCTATGCTCACCTCTGCCTCTCCCCTACACCCTCTTCACACCCTCCTCTATGTCCATGACCTCCCCCACTCCAGGTTCATTAACGCCCGGAGACGCATCGTGCAACCAATGATAGATCAGTCCAACCGCACAGGTATCAGGAGGAGGTGGGGAGAGAGGGCCTAGTGCTCCCCGAGGAGTGCCAGAGCCCGGACCCAGGCACCCTGGGGCCCAGGCTGCACCCCTAAACCCCTCTCTTGCAGGGCAGGGAGCAGCCTTCAACCCTGAGGGCCAGCCCATGGCGGGCTACCCAGAGACACAGCCACACATGACTGGCAGGCCACCCGGTAAGGCTCCGCCCTTTAACGAAGCCACGCCTCCAGCACCAGGCCCCGCCCCCCTCTAATGAAGATGCCGTACCTTCAGGGTTTATGTTCATGAATAATGAAGACAGGGCCTCATTTGCATAACAGGGGAGCCGATTTCCGGGTGCCCGCCTATGGGATGGCCCCACTTTCCCTTAAATGACCAGCATGGCCTCAACCAACGGCTCGGTCTGTCCTGATGGAGGAATACTAAGGTGACCAGACATCCAGCGTTTTGGCGGGACAGCCCCGATTTTGAACAATTCTTTCCAAAAATCGGGACTTTTTTAAAAAGTCGAGGGACGCGGGACAAATTGTTAAAAATCGGGACTGTCGCCAAGACCGGTTTGGCTCAATGGATAGAGCGTCGGCTTGGGGACTGAAAGGTCCCGGGTTCGATTCCGGTCAAGGGCATGTACCTTGGTTGCGGGCATATCCCCAGTAGGGGGTGTGCAAGAGGCAGCTGGTCGATGACTCTCTCTCTCATCGATGTTTCGAACTCTCTATCTCTCTCCTTTCCTTTGTACAAAATCAATAAAATATATATTTAAAAAAAATTAAAAAAATAAAATGGATTAATCTATTAAAAATAAATAAATAAATAAATAAATAAATAAATAAATAAATAAATAAATAAAAATCAGGACTGTCCCGCCAAAAGTGGGATGTCTGGTCACCTTAAGGAATCCCCTGAGACAGAAAGGGCGGGAGGGACTTTGGTGCACAGGGGGTGCCTGGTGAAGACCCACCAACCCTCTTTGTCTTCCAGGCGCCATGGGGATGAGTGTGAACTTGGAAGGAGAGTGGCATTACCTATAGAGGCGGATTCGGGAGGCGTGTGAGTGTCCGGGGCGAGGGCTGCTCTGAGAGCCTCTGGACTCCAGTAATGGCCACCAGAGCAGGGCAGTGTCGGTCCCTGAGCCGAGGGTTCTCCAAGGCTTGGGGGAAGATGATTCATCCATCCTTCTGTCCATCCATCTATCCATGCATCTATACACACATGCACCCATCCCTACATGCATACACACATGTCCTGAAATGCCACAGGTAGAATCTACTCTTTTTAAAAATATATATATTTTATTTATTTTTTTACAGAGAGGAAGAGAGAGATAGAGAGTTAGAAATATCGATGAGAGAGAATCATCGACCAACTGTCTCTTGCACACCCCCTACTGGGAATGTACCCGCAACCAAAGTGCGTGCCCTTGACCGGAATCGAACCCGGGATGCTTCAGTCCGCAGGCTGAGGCTCTATCCACTAAGCCAAACCTGTTTCGGCTGGACACATTCTTTTATTCTGCCAGGTATTAAGGTTTTAGAGTTTCTTCTTCTCAACAACCCCAAGAGGGAGAAACTGTTATTACTTCCATTTTGCAGATGAGAAAACTGAGGCTCAGAGGAAAGAGCTCAGTTGTGCAGATTCACTCAGCTCAGAAAAGCAAAGGGAACCGTATGTGCAAAGGCTGAGCACTGAGAGGCTACCCAGACTTTCCAAAGCATAGAGCAGATCTTGACCCTCTCTGACTTCAACCTTCTGTGGCTGCCCTAACCGGTTTGGCTCAGTGGATAGAGCATCGGCCTGTGGATTTGTGGGCACATCCCCCGTGGGGGGTGTGCAGGAGGCAGCTGATCGATGTTTCTAATTCTCTATCCCTCTCCCTTCCTCTCTGTAAAAAATCAATATATTTTTTAAAAAAGACCTGTTGCTCCCTAGTGCCCTCTGATGAAGTTGAAACTCAGTTTAGCATTCATTCATTCACTCATTCATTCATTCAACTCACATTCTCTGAGCACCCCTGTGCCTGGCCCTGTGCTGGGAACATGGCAGTCACCTTGACAGCCCTGCCCAGTGGGGGAGACAGACCCGTCTCAGAGGGTGATGACCCAGAGGGGACAGGGTGGGATGAGGGAACTCAGGAGGAGCCCAGAGAAAACATCAGGGCCAGGCTGGTGAGTTCAGGGAGTGCTTCCTGGAGGAGGGGACTTTGCAGCTGAGACAGGAAAATAGGAGAGAGGCATGGGAAGAGGGAACCGCATATGCAAAGGCTCAGAGCACCTGGAAACTTCAAGGCTGTGAAACAGCCCCTCTCCGCCCCACACACACACACAAGGAGGGAGGGCTGAGCGGGTGAGTCAGTGATACGTTCAGGCTGCAGAAGGGCTGGGAGATGAGTGTGGAGACGTGGGGGGCGCAGGCCTGGGGGGCCCTGGAGGCCTGAGCCTGGGCAGGAGGGACGGACAGGTTTGTTCAGAGCCTGGCTGGTTAGTGGGGGGCTCTGCTCTGCTCTGATCAGAGTGGACAGGGGTGGCCTGGCCTGAGGGTCCGAGGACCTCTGGGACCAGGAGTGATGGGGCTCCTCATCCTTCTTGGGGGGGGTGGGGAGGGGGGCTGTCTTCTCTCTCTGCCTCTGCTGCCCCTCCCCCACTCCTGTCTTTGTCTCTTTGTCTCCCTCTCTCCTTGTCTTTCTTTCTTTGTCTTAACTGTCTCCTTATCTCTCTCTTTAAAAAAAAAAAAAAAAAAAAAAAAGATGGGGATTCTTTTTTCTTTTTTAAAAAAATATTTTAAAAAAATATTTTATTGATTTTTTACAGAGAGGAAGAGAGAGATAGAGAGTTAGAAACATCGATGAGAGAGAATCATTGATCAGCTGCCTCCCGTACACCCCCTACTGGGGATGTGCCCGCAACCAAGGTACAAGCCCTTAACCGGAACCCAGGACCTTTCAGTCCGCAGGCCCACGCTCTATCCACTGAGCCAAACCGGTCTCGACTCCTTATCTCTCTTTCCAGCGCTGTCTCTCTCCTGATCCTCTCTCTTTCTCTCCCCTTCTCTCCCTCTCTCTTTCTCTCTCTCTCTCTTTCTCTCTCTCTCGCTCTCGCTCTCACTCTCGCTCTCGCTCTGTCTCTGTCTCTGCCTCTGTCTCTCTGCATCCCTCTCACTGTGGGGCGAGTGGGGACTGCTCAGAAGGGCTGATGTGGGGGGCCAGGTCCCTCCGCACCTCCTGACGTAGCGTCTCCCCCCTCCCCACAGACTCCAGCTTCTGAACTGTGACCTCCAGGCCAGCACCTGGTCCCGGTCCCCACTCTGGCTTCAGGACCCCGTCTCCGATGGCCCTCCCACTCAACGCCTACCTCCCTGGGCCCCGCCAGGACACGGGGGCCTGAGCACTGCTGGGCGGGCGGGGTCTCTCCAGGACAAAGACGAGGCCTCCAGGCTCTGCGCCCCACGTCTGCCCTCAGGGCTGCCTGGGACCCGAGCTGAGACCTGGGTCCTCAGAAGATGGTGGCTGGGGCCCCCGCCTCCAGGTGGAATTGGGGGCGGGCTGGGGCCGTCAGGGGAGGAGGGTCACCTGGATCCGATATTTGGGGAGGTTCCCTTCATCCTCCCAGCCCACCCCCCTCCCGTCTCCTCCTACCTCCCTTCTCTAACGTCTTCTACCTTTTTTTAAATGATAAAGTCTTAAAAACAAAAAACCACCAATTTGAGTTCTGACTTGTTTGTTTTTTTTAAGTTTTTGTTTTTATTGATTTTTTTAGAGAAAGAGGAAGGAAGAGGGAGAGAAACATTGATCGGCTGCCTCCTGCATGCCCCCTACCAGGGATCCAGTCTGCAACCTGGGCATATGCCCTGACTGGGAATTTAACCAGCAACCTTTTGGTGCACGGGACGGCGCCCAACCCACTGAGCCATACTGACCAGAGCCAATTTGAGTCTTTGTGTGCAAGATTCAAATTCTCATCCATTTGAAGCTCATAGAGCACTCATTACAATGACAAGTGATACTCTTTATCCTGCTCAGCCCCTGGGCACTCCATATGTATCAGTCAGCTATTGCTGTGTAACAAACAATCCCTGAACGTTTTTTTTTGTTGTTGTTGTTTTTTGTTTTTGTTTTGTTTTGTTTTTTGCTCAACACGCCCACTCCTTTACAGCTCGTCATTTTATGGGTTGGTATCTTAAACCAGGCTCAGTGAGGCAGGTCTTGTGGTTTCAGCAGGGCCCTCTTGTGTGTCTGTGGCAGGGACAGATCCACAAGGGAGCTCTGGTTCTGGGGGTTGGCTTGCTGGCAGCAGGGGCAACTGGACCATGTGGTAGCCTCGGCCAGCAGGCTGTGGAGTTTGTTCACGTAGAGGCTTGATTGGACTCCAAGAGAGAGCAGAAGGGCCCAAGTCCTCTAAGGGCCCCTGCTCAGATCCGGCTCTCGATGATCATTCTCTCAGCCAGGGGACATCACGAGGGCAGGCCCAGGGAGAGGGAAGAGACTCTACCCTTCTTGGGAGGAGCTGCAAACTCACGTGGCCAGAGAGGTGGGTGCTGGGAGGGGTGAGGAATCGGGGGCACTCTGGCTTCAGTCTCCCACACCGTGGCTCCCAGGTCCCTGTCTCCGTCTGTCCCACGGGAGCCACGATCAGCCTCCCCCATTGAAAGAGGTGCCCACAGCCGAAACCGGTGTGGCTCAGTGGATAGAGCGTCGGTCTGCAGACTGAAGGGTCCCAGGTTCGATTCCAGTCAAGGGCATGTACCTTGGTTGTGGGCACATCCCCAGTAGGGGGTGTGCAGGAGGCAGCTGGTTGATGTTTCTCTCTCATCGATGTTTCTGGCTCTCTATCCCTCTCCCGTCCTCTCTGTAGAAAATCAATAAAATATATTTAAAAAAAAAGAAAAAGAAAAAGAAAAAGAAAAGGAAGCGGTGCCCACAGACCTGGGCTCAGACCCTCCCCCTGGGACATACTAGCTGTGGTACCTCGGACAAGGGACTTCCCTTCTCTGGGTCTCAGTTTCCACATCTGGGAAGTGGGGGCAGTGGCCACACCCACATCACCTCTGTCGTGCTGACCAACGGAGGCGAGGCAGGGGACGTGCTGAGAACGGGGCCTGGCCCGCAGGAAGCGCTCAGAGGCAGGAGTCATTCTCTGTAACTAGCCCCGTGGTCGGCAAACGGCGGCTCGCGAGCCACATGCGGCTCTCTGGCCCCTTGAGTGTGGCTCTTCCACAAAATACCACGGCCTGGGCGAGTCTATGTTGAAGAAGTGGCGTTCGAAGAAGCTTAAAAAATGTGGCTCTCCAAAGAAATTTCAATCGTTGTACTGCTGATATTTGGCTCTGCGGACTGATGAGTTTGCCGACCACTGGGCTGGAGAAACGGCAGCCCAGAGCTGAGGGTGCCTGGAAACAGGTGAAGAGCAGAGGGAGCAGTTCTGAGACTCAACGGCCTTGCCGAAACCGGTATGGCTCAGTGGATAGAACATAGGCTTGCGGACTGAAAGGTCCCAGTTTCTATTCCGGTCAAGGGCATGTACCTTGGTTGCGGGCACATCCCCAGTAGGGGGTGTGCAGGAGGCAGCTGGTCGATGTTCTCTCTCATAGATGTTTCTAGCTCTCTATCCCTCTCCCTTTCTCTCTGTAAAAAATCAATAAAAATATATTTAAAAAAAAAAAGAGAGAGAGAGACTCAACGGCCTTCACCTATCATTCATTTGGGCCCAGGTATTTCCCGGGCACACGCTTTGCTCATCACTTCAGTGAACAAACCAAACCCCTGCCCTAGGGGAGCTGAGGTCCGGCGTAGCGGGGGGTGGGGGGTCCAGGGAGGGTTAGGGGGGCCAGGGCGGAGCAGGGAGATTAGGGGGGACGGGGGGGGGGACCCGTGTGGGCCGAGTAAATGAGTGCGTTGTGGGCTCTGCTGGAAGCTGGCGGTGGCACAGGGCAGGGAATAAACTTCACGTGTTTGTTTACCCTTTCCTAGTGCACATGCTGTGCCAGGCTGTTCAAGAGCTCTACCCTACCAGCCCGGTAAGCCCACCGCCTGTCCCAG